CAAAACTGTACACAGTACTCTAAATGAGGCCTTACAAGTGATCTGTACAGTGAAACAATAATATTCCTTGTCTTCTATTCAATATTTCTATAGATGCTACCCAAAATACACTGTTTAGATGACTTAAGTGATTTTTTGATCAAAACACCAAGATCTTTTTCTTCAACTACAGTATTTAATGTATTCCAATTTAAGTCACAACAATAATTTGAATTGTGAAAACCTACATGCATCACCTTACATTTTGGACAGTTAAACATCATCTGCCACGTATAGGCCTAATCCATCAAATGATCTAAATTTCCCTGTAAGTCTGCAGCATCTTTCATACAGTTAGCCACCCCAAAATGTCACAAAAGTTTAAGTGGAGGAACATTTTGGAAAACAAGTTAAAAGGTAATGAAAGAGAGATTGGAAAAATTTTGAAAATAAATTACTTTTAATTAAAGATAGGCATGTTTCTAAAAAGGAGAAGATCTGAAATAAATGCCTTAGTATAAGAAGTTTAAATAGACAAATAGTTTGGAATATTTAAAGTACTATATACGAAAACTATGGATTTGGTTTAAAAAAAAAAGAAATAAAAAAGGCTTATTTGAAACAGCTGGCTGATAACATTAAAACATTATGAAAGTTTTTTTAAGTATGTTAAAGGTAAGAAAAATGTTGGTACGAGGATTGGGCCCTTACGGGATATTAATGGCAAAGGTTTTGTTGAAAATTATAAGATGGCTGAGCTATTAAATGTCCTCTTCTGTTTCTACAAAGAGTAGATGTTAACAATATTCCTGATCCTGAAAATTTTATGTAAAGTACAGTGAGCCCCTCTAAAACAAACAACTTTTGGATCAGACAAAAAGTCCAGTTTGAAGAAGTTTCCACTTTAATAAAATTTTAATTTGTAATAACACGTGTAACTGTCCCTTAAATTTGTAATAACACGTGTAACAGTCCCGTAAATTAGTAGTAACACATGTAAGTTTCCCTTAAATTGGTAGTAACATGTGTAAGTGTCCCTTCAATTGGTAATAACATAGGTGTTTCTTAAATTGATAATAACACAAGTAACTGTCCCTTAAATTGGTAATAACATAGGTGTTTCTTAAATTGGTAATAACACGTGTAACTGTCCCTTAAATTGGTAATTATACATGTAACTGTCCCTTAAATTGGTAATTATACATGTAATTGTTCCTTAAATTGGTAATAACACGTGTAACTGTCCCTTAAATTGGTAAGGGACAGTTACACATGTTATTACCAATTTAAGGAACAGTTACACGTGTAATTACCAATTTAAGAAACACCTATGTTATTACCAATTTAAGGGACAGTTACACGTGTAATTACCAATTTAAGGGACAGTTACACGTGTTATTACCAATTTAAGGGACAGTTACACGTGTAACTAATCAATATTTATTTGTAATGATATAAAATAAACTTTTTAATTTTCTTTTGTAAGATCTTCCTCTTTATGAAATCATCAGTACTTTACACATTACATTAATCCCCTGGATATGGTTAGGTAAAAGTGGGCATGTCCCAATCTTCTTAAAGAGTACATTCGACACTTAACCAATCTACTTAATTATCAATGTATGTTGATAAATTTGGCATCAAATCATAGGTAATATATCAAATTTTAATATCATACAAGTTTTAATTCCTTAGTATTAAATATATATATATATTTAAGTAAATTTTAAAATCAAATGACCCCATATTGTGTATCTAACAATACAATAACAAGCCATAATCAAGAGTGTAGTGACTGATTGGTTTTTAAAAACCTGAAATCTCCAACATAGTATTCAGCTGTGATTAAAAAAGAACTAACAGTGGTTTGAGATAAACTTAGATAGATTTTTACCTTAAAATGAATAAGTTATTGTAACCTCGTTTAATACTCTAGTAAGGCCTCATTCAGATACATAGTTTTGTCTCCTTTAGTACAAGAATGATATATTTACACCTAGAATTACTATTGGTGTACAGATGGACCATGGCAGCTTTTTAAACACATTTCCCTAAATCACTAACATAAAAAAACTGCTTGTTGGTCCATGAATCCGTTGATTACAAGGTCCCTTATAACATATGAGCTACACACAATGAAAATATAATCTGTGATGTAGAAGCCTAATGCATTCTTTAATTTGCTGCTCCCCCTGCTGTGGACTGCAGTTTTGCATATTCAAGGCTCATCAGCAAAGTTCGAATCAACAAATCAAAGAATGGTGATGTGTATGTATATTTATGGAGATTTGAGTCTTTTTTTTTAACTCACCATATGGTACCATAAATTAATTTTAGTATGTAAATAATATTATGACATTCTGCTTAATTGTATAATATCAAATAAATTAGATGCAATGCCATATTATCATTATTCACACACCTAGATCAATTTAGATTACTATATGGCAAGTAAAAATGACTTAAAAACCCTATAAATGAAAACACCATTAATATTGTAATTAATTTTGCTAGTTACTACCAGATTCCCCTACATATTTTACATAAAATATGAGTGATCTCACCCTTTTTTAAGTTTTAGTTATTTAAATTGAGTACCGTAAAGAAAAACTAAACTTATTGAATATTATTCAATACGTGGACTTTTCTGGTAGAGAACAGTATAACAAACAAGTCAGTAATTTGAACAACAACAAGAGTCCACAGATGGGCTACTTCTACTACTACTATAATGATGGTTAATTTAAGAAGTTTGAGTTGTAAAACACTTTTTAAATATTTATTTCCTTTGCTCTGTAGAACAGGCAAATTGACTCGGGTGTTTAAAATTTTTATGAATTTGGATAACTTTTGGGAGGTTTATTTCAATCATGGAACAAAATGGTTTAAAGTTGATTATTAGAGAAAGTAAGTTTCAGGTCTGGAAATCCAACTCAACTTTTTTTTTTTCTATATTTATTGGATATTTAAACATTGGGCTTATTAGTACTTCCTTTAATCATTCAACCTATTATTCCTTTGTGAATTTTATATAATCAAATATTGCATTCAGTTACATTTTTAGTAACCAGACATACATCATAAGCA